GAGCACGAGCTCGCGATCCGAAAGGAGTTGAAAGGTACTACGTCAACGTTGCTGTAGCGAGCCAATGCCATGTCCCTCAGAGGTCGTGGCGCAAGAGTCGTGCATGAACAACCTCGGCACGGTGTACCTCAAAGCCCGGGACCCGGAGGCAGCGATGAGCTGGTTCACGCAGGCGCGCGACCTCGCCATCGCACGGGCCAATGTCCCCGCGCAGTGCCTTATCCACTACAACCTCAGCCTCGCCCAGCAAGCGCTCGGAAACGCCGCCGACGCCGCTCAGCTCGCACTCGCCGTCTTCTCGACCCCGGTACAGATAGATGCCTCCCACGTCCACGCACCCCACGGCGACGACGACGTAGGAGCCGATCGAAGAGAGCTTGCGCGTCTCGGCCCTTCAAGGTACGCACTGTCGGGTACGAGTGGTCTCGTATGCTTGCGCTAGTGCTCGCAGCGACCGACGGTGTCCTGCACACGGGCGCCTTCCTCGAGCACGCAACACTGGCGTACGAGCGCGCCGAGGGGCTTGGCGACCCGACGCTCCTTGCGTCGTAGGACAAGATTGCGCTCTGGCACGGAGCTCATGGGCACGTAGCTGCGCGAGCGCGTTGGCCATCCACTATTTCGAGGCCCAGGCGTGGGAGGAGTCGGCCAAGTACTTTGACACGTGTCTTCGCATGGCCATCGCATCCAAGAATGTCAAGGCCGAAGCTGTTGCTCACTACCACGTCGGGTCGGCGCTCGCCGAGGCCGGTCAGCGCAAGGCGGCGGAGGCGCACTTCCTCCTCGGACTCGAGCAGGCCAAGGCGCTCGAGGCCAACGACCTTGCTGCGCTGCTCCAGGCCAAGATCGGCATCGAGTACCTCTACCACCACGATACGTTCGTCGCGAAAGCCGAGCTCAGCGTCGCGCTGCAGAAAGCGAGGTTCGCGGGTAGCCACGCCGTCGAGAGCTACGCACTCACGGGCCTCGGCCACGTGCACATGATGGAGTCGCTCGTTGCCGACGCGGCCGCCGTGTACGCAGCGGATCTGGCGCTCTCGCCAGCACGACCGTCCGTCGCAGCTGCGCGCGCAGAGCAACCTCGGCGTCGCCGCGCTCGTCGCCGGCGACCTCGACGAGGCGATGAGCCACTTTCGCGCCAACTCGGTAGGATCCTAGGTTCTGGCAACGATCCAACGATTGACGCGGCGGTGCGTAGCGCACGGCGGCGATTCTCGGCGATCGGAAGGAAATGGCGCGTGCGCATTATGGCATGGGCCTTGTCGCCAAGGAAAAGAAGCGGCGTGGCGAGGTTCGAAGCCGGTTCCATGCGGTACGGAATGCACTCCCTCGCATAGACGCTCTCGGCCGCGGACGAGCCCGTCCAGTTGTTTACGCGCCAGCGGTCGCTGGCCGTCGAAGCTGGCGCCCGCCACCTTGAGATCCTCGCGCTCAAGTACGCTGCGATACCAGTGTTGATCTGCAAACATAGCACGGTAGGGAGCTCGTGGCCATGTACGACATGACGCTTGCGTTCGAGAGGGCGCAGGACGAGTGCGAAGAGCTCATTGGGCTCGCCATCAACACACCAGGAGAGACCGTCCATCTCCTCGAGGCCTACCGGTCCCTCGCCAACGTGCTCTCGTCCCAGCTCAGCCTGCTCCAGCAGCGGGGCAGTCGCTTCCACGACACGATCAAGGTGCTCATGCACAAGCGCGAAGAGGCGTGCAACAACTACAAGCGGCTCGCGGACGCTTCGCACACCATCGCGTCGACAAGCGCGAGGGTGGTGCGCCAGGACGTCGACCATGTCGTCCGCGTCGCGTTCAAATAAAGTCCCACGGAATGCTTCGTCTATTCAGCGTCTTGGAGGAACGCTTCGATGGTCTCGAGGACGGCGAGGCTCGTGCCCTCGATTTTGAGGATCGCCGTCGGCACTTCGGCCCAGTCGTAAATGCACTCGTCGCTCGGGTCCGGGTTGATGCGAATGAGGTTGGCTTGACGGGTTGTGAGCGACCGCTGGTACTCCTTCTTGAGCACGTCGCGGACCACCATCTCGCACTCGTGTCGCACCGACGGCACCTACAGCATGCTCCACTCATCGACCACATCGCGGGGACACGAATGTACGCGCATGCCACAGCCCATCTCGATGACAACCATCTTCTTCTCCGGATGCTTGGCGAGCACCTAGCGCCAGATGCCGATGAAGCTGGGATGCATATCGAGTGAAACAACGAGTACGTCTTCCATGGCGGCCTCCCAGTCCACGTAGCGGTCCGAGTCGAGGTCATTGGAGAGCCACTTGCGGTCCGAGAACATGAGAATGTTGGGCCGCGCCGGGCCGTTGCACGTGCCGCACGAGAGGAGCCTAGCCATCATGTTCGAGTTGCGACGTGACGTGTGCCATTTAGGCGTCGTACGGGTCACGCTCAAAGCCTTCCGCGTACATCGTGTCGCGGTTGATCTGGAACCGAAAGGCCGGCGGGAGCTCCCAAATCGACGCCGAGCACGGCCCCGTCTTCTCGTCCTTGCCCGCGCACTGCCAGAGCTAGTCGTCACCAGTCAGCCATTGCTAGGCGACGTCAAGTCTACTTCAATGTTGCCGTGGATCTCATAAATCTCCGAAGGCGAAAAGACTGCGTAAAGTGATGATCGACCTACAGCGCCTGGTATGAGCGTCGCAAGCAGCTTCGTCGTATACGTTTGACGTGTAGATGAAGAACGGGTCGCCGGTCACGTCCGAGAAGTCCTTTGGCGCCATCTGTAGCGACTCCATCACGTCCTTGAGCTTCATATTCGACTTGGCCGAGACGCGCTGCTTCCATTTTTGCAGGATTTGGTACCTGCCATCGGGATAATGGCACTCGACTCGGCGGCAGGTCGCAGACGTACCCTCGGTGAGGTGTCGTGCTGCGGTACAGATTGAGGCAGTCGCCCCAAAAGCCGTAAAAAAGCTGGAGGTCTTCGTGGATCTACGGTGCAACAGGCTCGAGCAGGCTGTAGAAGCGGCGTCGTACCCAGTACGGGTCGCAGAGGTCTTGGTAGTCGACGCCCAGCGTGTTGTAGGCCTCGACCTTGGCAATGTCGCTAGACACAAGATCGTCGTTGGTCACAGAGAGGCGCGCCGTACTTGTAGACGGGCAGACCCGAATCCGCTAGAGGCCATGTCCTGCTAAGCCCATGGCACACGTCGCCGAGGAGGGTGTGTACCTGAGAAGCCTGCACCGGCAGCGATCATGATGAAATCGGCGTCGCGGATCAAGGCTATACGTGGCTGCATGAACATGCTGGTCATGCGCTCGTCCGACGCGTACCGGCAGCCTGGCGACACTTTTCGTCCATCCTCGCGGCGCCTCCTGTCTCGGACTTGGCTGTTTCACAAATGGCAGCAAGCGCGAGGCAGCGATTATCCGGCAGCTAATTGCACGCCACTGACACATACAAAACGACGCCACCAATAAATTACACGCACGACGGGATTGTTGCGTGAAACTAGACGGTCATGACGACTTCGTCGCCCGGACGCGGCTCGTCCGCTGCCGTGTTGCCAAACGGCCAGAGGAACTGGAGCAGCGCGTGCCAGAAGCTCTCTGGCTCGGCCAACGCCTTGGCACGGACGCTGGCATAGTCGAACACATCTGCGATCGCGGGCTGCGGCGGCGGGTCGCGCAGGACGATCGGACCTCGGTGGCTCGTCGGGGGGGGGGCGACGCGCTGGCGTGGCGCTGCCGGGCCCAAACGCTGGCGCTTCGTCTACGCCAAGTGGCCTCGACGATGACCCGCCCGCCTCGAGCTCGGCCACGCGCTTCCGCAGGGTCTAGGCACCGTTGGTATCAGCAGCATCCCACATGCAGAATCGCAAACTAGTACCTCGATCGTGTCCTTGTCCGTGCGGATCTGCGCCTTGAGCCCCATCATCTGCTCCTCCTGCACGACGATGTGCTCTTCGGCGTCATAGAGTTGTCGCTCGACGACAGCCTTCTCGGCGCGCAGCTTGCGGATGTAGTCGAGGACGGCCTCGTGCTCGCCGAGGAGATTCCGGTCGTTCACGTCGGTAACGAGCGCTTCCATTGACTCTTTGAGCTGCGCAATGAGTGCGTCCTTTTCCTCGAGCTGGTGGCGCACGTTGCCGCTGTCGAGGGACGGCGTGTTGGAGGCGGCTGGTGTCGTGGGTACAGAGGCCGGCGGAGCGCGGGCCCGTGGACTCGCAGTGAGCGCAGCCATGACGACGTCGCGGTCTTCTTCGTCTTGCTTCTCCGTACTACGCCCGACGTTGGTGTCGGGGCGCTTTGTGATTTTGCCTTTGGCAATGATGCGTGTGATCTCCTTCTTGGACGCGACCTCGACCGGGGCCTTGCCCTGGACGTAGCCCCGGGTTCCGACGAGGCTCAGGTCAGCGCCATAGTCCACGAGGAGCTGGACGCACTCGACCGAGTTGATGTGGCACGCCTCGTGGAGCGCCGTCGCGCCGTCTGCGTTTTGCTGGTTCAAGACAGGCATGTGTCCGTAGTGGCGCAAGAGCAGAGAAAGGACGTCGACGGCGTTGCTCGAGGCGGCCCAATGCAGTAGCGTGTTCTCATGCGGCGGGCCGTCCGTGGCCGTCGCGCCGTCGATGCCGGCCCGCAAGAGCTCCTCAACCTTAAGCACGTCGTTCATCGCGACGTGCTGCACAATGTACTGGCTAAAGACTTGGACCATGGCGCGATGGGGCAGGAGCCCGAGCGCAATGTCGTACGCGGTCTTGTTCGTGTACTTGGACGGCTTCTTGCTAGGTATGACCACAGCATCGGCGGCAAAGCCGGCCGAGAGAAGCGCGCGGACCGCGTCGGTCTTTTGGTGCACGACGGCGACGTGCAGCGGCGTGAGGCCCTCGGCGTTGCGAATTGCGTCGAGCTTCAAGACGTCCTTGCCGTGGTCGAGGAGCGCCTTGAGGACGTCGGCGCGGCCATGCTCTGCGGCGAGGAAGAGCCCATCGTGCGCCGCCTCGAGCTCCTGCTGCATGGCGAAATCTTGGTTGCCACGTTGCAAACGAGATGTCGTCGTCCGGATAAGTGCGGCGTATCCGGCATTTCACGAAGATCGCAACAAGCGTACATACACCGAAGTGGTCCAAGGGGCAGTAGTCGCCCTCTGAACCTCTGCCGTGGACTCGACACCGGATCAAGAGCACGGACGTCGCCATCCATTGCTACGTGTGCGCTGGTGTCGCAGCACGCTGGTAGCAAGGGAATAAAGCAATGTGTTATTCACTTGGCGGGCAGCGACGCAACAAATCGTCTTCTTCCACAGACGCGCTTGCCAGCAACGTTTCGGGCGAGGCCGGTGCGCTGGCCGGTTGCCTGACCATCGCTCTATATTAAGACCCGCCATCCACCACAGTGTCCAGGGCCGCCATCCATCGCAAGACTGGATTTGCCTGGAACCAACGATGGTCCAGCCAGTCGTCATCGTCGTCGTCGTCATAAGCTCGCGGCTGCTTGTGCATTGCAGCGAGCGTAGCTCCAGCGCCTTGCGAGGGCGACGGCGCTTCGGTTGAAGCGGTTGTCCGGATAGCGAGGCGGCGTAGTTTCGACAAAGAAGATCTTTCGCCGGTGGGCGCCGGATAACGAAACAAAATAAAATCGAAAAAGAACGTTTTTTGTGATTGGCCAAAAGTCGTTCCAGATGGAATTCCGAGGATTTTGACCAATGGCATCGCGCGCGTTGAAAGGTCGCCCTAAACCGTCGCCCATACAAAGGACGAGCGAAAGCCATTTTCCTTGTCGCTGGGCTCATGGCGGACGCGGAGGGCGTGCAGCAGGAGCTGCAGGACTACCTGCAGAAGAAGGGTATCAACACGCTCTTCATCAACATCGTCGAGTCGCTCCTGCTCTCCAAGCCCGACAACCCCGTGCTGCACATCATCCAGTACCTCCAGACCAACTTCCCAGAGCAGGCCACGGTGCGTGCGGCCGAAGCGCCCGCGATCGCGACCGGCCGTACGTAAGGCGTAGCATGGCTCGAATGACTCATGGCATGTAGACCATTCGGACGAGTCGGAAAGCGAAGACGAAGGCGAAGAAGATGCGGTCGGCGAGATGCAGGAAGCGCAGCCGGCGGCGCGGACGTTCCCGAAAGGCCGCAGAATATCCGTGTCGGCCGAAGCACTCGACCCTGACAAGTACGATCAATGCCACCGTGTCTTGGCTAAGCTAGCATGGTCGTAGCGCCAAGCCGTTGGACGCCGTCGTGCATCCGAAATCGGAAGAAGAGAGGAAGCGCATCTCCGATATCCTCGTGGACAACATCCTCTTCAAGTCCCTCGACGAGAAGCAATCCAAGGTATTACGCGAGGTATTGGGTCGCGACGCCGCTCATCCTCCATGACCAGATCCTCCTCGACGCGATGTTTCCCAAGGAGTTTGCTGTCGGCGACGTCATCATCAAGCAGGGCGACGATGGCGACAACTTTTATATCCTTGACACGGGCGTCTGCGAAGTCTACAAGGATGACAACCTCGTCCTCACGTGCACGGAAGCCATGTCGTTTGGCGAACTCGCGCTCATGTACAATGCGCCGCGCGCCGCCACGGTCAAGGTCAAGGAGAACGCGAAAGTGTGGGCGCTCGACCGCCAAACCTTCAAGGTACGTCGCCAGCGACTATGACCACATCTCATTCTCGTGTCACAGTACATTATCATGGAGACGACGATGAAGAAGCGCGACCAGTACAAGGGCTTTATCGAGAAGGTGCCGCTTCTCGAGTCCCTGAGCGAGTACGAGCGGCTCACGGTCGCGGACGCGCTCCGTGTTGCCACGTTCAACGACGGCGAGATCATCATCCGCCAGGGCGACGACGGCAACCTCTTTTATATTATCTCGGAAGGCACGGCCGTGTGCACCAAGCAAGTGTCGCCGTCGGACCCGGTCCAAGAGATTGGACTCCTCTCGACGGGCGCGTACTTTGGCGAGATTGCACTGCTCACGACGCGTCCGCGGCAGGCGACCGTGACGGCCAAGGGCCAAGTCAAATGCTTGACGCTGGACCGGAAAACGTTCAAGCGCGTCATGGGGCCGCTTGAGAACATCCTCAAGCGCAACCTCGCGCAGTACAACCTCGTCATGGCCAACACCATCTAAGCCACTGTAGCGGCGTGTATCTTCATACTTAAAACACAATCCAATACCAACACCCTTGTAGATTCGAGGGGTCTGTGCTTACTTGGTCGCTTCGTCGACCGGGTTCTCGTCCAAGACCTCGACGACGACGTTGTGGTTGGTGTAGACGCAAATGTCGGCGGCGATCTTCATCGAGCGACGGGCGACGTCTTCGGCCGACAGGTGCGGCTGGTCGATGAGCGCACGCGCAGCCGCAAGAGCGTATGTGCCACCCGACCCGATGCCAATGATGCCATCGTGGGGCTGGAGCACATCGCCGTTGCCCGTCAATGTGAACGACTGCTTGTTGTCCGTGACAATGAGCAGCGCCTACAAGATAGTTGGCAACAATCCTGCAGTCGGCTGGAGTGTACTTCGAGGGCGCGGAGGTACTTGTCGGTCCGCCACGCCTTGGCCAATTCGACGCACGCGCGCGTGAGCTGGCCTGGACAACGTGATTAGTGCAAGCAAATACGTCGATCCTGCATGGGCAGGCCCGCACCCGGGTACTCGTCGAGCTTGCTCTCCAAGCGCTCAATGAGCGTGAAGGCGTCGGCCGTCGAGCCGGCAAAGCCCGCGATGACGTTCTCGTTGATGCGGCGCACCTTTTGCGCGTTGGGCTTGACGATCGTGTGGCCCAGCGAGACTTGGCCGTCACCAATGACGCACTACGCGTCGCCTTAGCGATCCTGCGATCTTTGGTTCGTGACGTACCACTTTGCCATCCTTGCGCACGCAGAGGATTGTGGTGCCATGCATCGTCGGCGCGGACGAGAAGGCGCGCTTGGCGTCGAGGGCGGCGGCGCGCTGGAGGGCGATGGCAGCGCTGCGGAACATGGCGGACGTCGGCGGCTGGTGAAATCGGAAATGGAGCACCACACAGAGGGTTTTTAACCCTTGCCACCCCAACCCGTGACAATTAACATCGCACAACCTTTGTACCGATCCGGGGTAATTAACATGATGCGATATACCTTAAAAGAGAGATTAACGACATGCGCCCTTTTCAAGCCTAAAACCACCAGCCGCGATCAATGAGCCGCGATATCAAAATGACCAGCGAGCTCCATGCCTTTAGTGCTACCGGTACCAGTACAAGTGCATCCCGCTGCGAGAGCAATAGTATGTGCCGGGTGTAAACACGCTGCTTACTCCGGCGGCCATGGAAGTCATGCGAAGGTGTGCGACATATTATGTGCACCGACTTATCCGGACGATGTGGTTTCCGGTCCCAGAAATGCGCATTTGCATTCTTGGACGAGGGATGGTGCTAGCGTTCCTTCGCCCGCTGCGCCCTCTCGGCGGCCTGCGCCACGCGCGCTTCATGGCGACGCGGTCGTCCTACCAGCGCAACCTGGACGAGAAGAACAAGCGCATCATGCTCTACACGGCGTCGACGGCGCTGCTCTTCTTCGGCGCGGCCTACGCTGCAGTCCCGCTCTACAAGATCTTTTGCCAAATGACGGGCTTTGGCGGCACGACGCAGCGCAGCGACATCCTCACGGCCGAGAAGCTGAGCCCTGTCGAGGGAGCGCACCCGATCCGCGTCACCTTTGACGGCGGCGTCGCGGGCGCGATGCCCTGGAGCTTCCGGCCGATCCAGCGCGACCTCGTGATCGTGCCGGGCGAGACCGCGCTGGCCTTTTACACGGCCAAGAATCCGACCGAGAAGGCGATCACGGGCGTCGCCACGTACAACGTGCACCCGCCCAAGGCCGGGCTCTACTTCAACAAGATCCAGTGCTTCTGCTTTGAGGAGCAGCGGCTCAAGGCCAACGAGGAGATTGACATGCCCGTCTTCTTCTTCATCGACCCCGATATTGTCGACGACCCGTCGATGACCAACGTCTCCAACATCACGCTCTCGTACACGTTCTTCAAGACGGACGACGTCGACGAGGACGACGTCGAGTAAGAGATGCCCACGATAGACACCCAGCATGGAATAAGCGACTGCATTTGTGCATTTAAAACTCAGTCGCCCATGGTGCTGAACGCAGCGCTCGAGTGCGACGTGATGCTGCCGCGGCGCTCGGTCGACTCGCGCCGGCCACGGCCCTTGCGGCTGTCCCGTCGACTGTTGTTTCGGACAATCTCGCGTCGCGCCACCGGCTCGATGAGCTCCTGGTTCTCGCGCTCGGCCTCCTCGTCGAGTTCGCGCTCTGTGTGCTTCCACTCGTCGCGACACTGGTCCAGGTACTCTGGGAAGCGCTCCATGAGCAGATCAAAGTCGTCGAAGCAGAGGAGGAAGCACTCGCAGTCGCAGTTGGCGATCGCCGTGTACTCGCGGCCGCGGTCCTCAAAGAGTGCCCGCCCGCCAAAGAGGCTGCCTTGGAACTTCTCGAGCGGCGTCTTCTTGGCCGCGAGCACGGTCGCGCCGCCGACGTTGATGAAATAGAGCACCCGGCCCACGTCGCCCACCTCGTAGGTCGAGTAAATCTATCTATCAACGTATCAAGTGGTATTACCTGGTAGATGAGGTCGGCGTAGACAAACTGCTCGGTTTCGAGCATCGTGACGAGCGATCGGACAAAGACTTCGTGGGCATTCGCCAAGAACGAGAGGCTGAGCACCATGCTTCGCTTGACGTGCATCGCAATGTCTTCCTTCATCTTACGTGAGAGCGTCGAGAGGAGCTCCAACTCGGTCTGTCCTTGGCTCCGCTGCCACAGCGACCGAAACACGTGCGACGTTTGAATGAAAAAGTCGAACGGGACGCGACGGTACTTGAAGAAGGTCGAGATGTCGATCATTTTCTGCTCGAATTTCATGCGCATCGCAAGGTGCTCCTCCATCAAGCCCGAGAGCACGCCGGTGAGGAGCCCGAGCACGGTGATGGCAACCACGATGAAGACGACCGTGAGACTCGTTTCGGCCACGTTGGTGCTCACCACGTCGCCAAAGCTCTGGCTCGTGAGCGCCGACGTCGCGTAATAGAGCGCCACGAGGTACACGTTGAGACTCGTAAAGCGCACGTGGCTCGAGAGCGAGAGCGGGATGACTCGTGTCGGGCACAGCGGAGTCTTGTCCGTAGCGTTGACGTAGCCGGCCGCGACAAGCCACGACGGCGATGGCGTAGCCGTCAAGAGGTTGAAGGCCGAGAAGAACCACACGCACGCCATCCAGTGCGCGGCCAAGAAGAGCGGGACGAGGAACGAGCAAATGAATTTGACTAGCATCTCGTGGTGCCGCGTCGACGGGAACCGTCTTAGGAACCGCTGGAGCGTTGTCGTGAGCGCGGGGTAGTGTACCATGCGCACCATCTTGTTGAGCCGGAGGAGCGACGCAACTTGCCAGCGCGCGTGGTCGTCCACGTTCACAAGGAGCGCAAGGAGCTCGAGCGGAAGAAGCGCAAATACGTCCATGCCAAGACCGCCGTGGCGCCAGTACCGTCGCCGCACCAGGGCCCGCGACGCTTGGAGCTCGCCAGCCTTGAACTCGTAAAAGTAGGAGAAGCGCAAGATGATATCGACGAGGCAGAGACCGTCGAGGAGGTACTCGGCCGCAAACCACCCGATCGCGAGCGGCGACCACTCGAGCACAAAGCACGCACGGAACGGCAAGGCGCACGCAAAGTAGAGAGTCGTCGCAAGACACAAAAGGTCCCAGATCTCGCGGAAGCGCGAGTGGGGAATCCAGTACGGCAGTGGCGGCGGGTCATGGTGCCAGATCGTGAGCGTCTCGAGCGACAGCTGTGACGTCATGACGCCGGCCTCGTCGTTGGGTCCGCAGTTCGCTCCGAGTATGGACCCAGACGACTG